CCCCTTGCGACGACTTCCATTACCATTGCACCTGAGACCCGAGGGGAGCAAGGCTTTTTCTCGACCAGACGGTCGAGCAGAAACTGCGGGAAACGAGAGGAGAATCGGAATAAGGAAATGGAGGGTGTTCGCCTCTTGCGTAATTCGCTCGACGCGCGACTTTGTAATTGTTTAGATCGCTTTGGAACATTGTCGATGGACCTGCTGACACTTTTACCATGTTCCGATACAGGAGAACGTTCTTTTTGCTCCTAACTTTCATAAGTAAATTTTTCAATACTAAATTATTGTAATACTTGGGTAAAATACTTATTACAATAATCTAACGGAGCTAAAGCTTCATCGTTGCATTTAAATGTACATTGCACTTGCAGTTGAACACGATACTTATGTATCATGTATAAGGAGTAAACTGTTTTTACATATTTGGAAAAGTAGGACAATGTTTAACAAAACGGTTTTTTAAAATTATGAGCAGTTATCAAGTGGAAGTTTAGAGCCTCGTTTTGGAATGTCGAAACTAGATATGCGTTTTCAAATTTCAATGTTTAAATATTACTTTCAAGAAAACGATCGAACTTAGAAAATTGAAATTTTCCAGACTTATTTGTCCATGCTTTAAGAAGCAGCTCGAATTTTGCCAAGCCGTTGTATTCAGATTGAAGGGAATTATTAATTGCAACCTTCGTACCTCGTTTCTCAATGCCTCAACTAGTTCACGCGTATCTAGATCGATCTTTGAGAATGATTAACAAGAAAACGATTGAACTAAGCAAATTGAAATTTTCCAGACTTATTTGTTCATGCTTTAAGAAGCAGCTCGAATTTTGCCGAGATGTTGCATTCAGATTGAAGGGAATTATAATTGCAACCTTCGTACCTCGTTTCTCAATGCCTCAACTAGTTCACGCGTATCTAGATCGATCTTTGAGAATGATTAACAAGAAAACGATTGAACTAAGCAAATTGAAATTTTCCAGACTTATTTGTTCATGCTTTAAGAAGCAGCTCGAATTTTGCCGAGATGTTGCATTCAGATTGAAGGGAATTATTATTGCAACCTTCGTACCTCGTTTCTCAATGCCTCAACTAGTTCACACGTATCCAGATCGATCTCTGATAATGAATAACAAGAAAACGATTGAACTTAGTAAATTGAAATTTTCCAGACTTATTTGTTCATGCTTTAAGAAGCAGCTCGAATTTTGTCGAGGTGTTGCATTCAGATTGAAGGGAATTATTATTGCAACCATCGTACCTCGTTTCTCAATGCCTCAACTAGTTCACACGTATCCAGATCGATCTTTGATAATGAATAACAAGAAAACGATTGAACTTAGCAAATTGAAGTTTTCCAGACTTATTTGTCAATGCTTAAAGGAGCGGTTCGAATTTTGCCAAGACGTTGCATTCAGACTGAATGGAATTATTAATTGCAACCTTCGTACCTCATTTCTCAATGCTTCAACTAGTTCACACGTACGATCAATCTTTAAGAATGAATAACAACAAAACGACTGAACTTAGCAAACCAACATTTTCCAGACTCATTTATCCATGCTTGAAGAAGCAGTTCGAATTTTACCAAGGCGTTGTATTCAAATTGTAAGGAGTTATTAATCGCAACCTTCGTACCTCGTTTCTCAATACCTCAACTAGTTCACACGTATAATCAATCTTTAAGAATGAATAACAAGAAAACGATTGAACTTAGCAAACCAACATTTTCCAGACTCATTCGTCCATGCTTGAAGATGCAGTTCGAATTTTGCCAAGGCGTTGTATTCAAATTGTAAGGAGTTATTAATCGCAACCTTCGTACCTCGTTTCTCAATACCTCAACTAGTTCACACGTATAATCAATCTTTAAGAATGAATAACAAGAAAACGATTGAACTTAGCAAACCAACATTTTCCAGACTCATTCGTCCATGCTTGAAGATGCAGTTCGAATTTTGCCAAGGCGTTGTATTCAAATTGTAAGGAGTTATTAATCGCAACCTTCGTACCTCGTCTCTCAATGCCTGAACTAGTTCACGCGTATCCAGATCAATCTTCGAGAATAACAAGAAACCGATTGAACTTGGCAAACTGAATTTTTGCGGACCAGCGAAGGTAACCCAGACTGCTCCGAGAAGAGAGGAGATCCATCGATCCAGGGACCGGGGTACGAGGTAAACGAGAGCAAGGAGGAGGAGAGACGCACGCTCCGCGAAGGAGGAACACGCTCGAGGAGAGGTTCGCGCATTGATATGCAACAGGCCGTATATGCGGGCCATGGCGGTCGAACAATACGACCACCGGTAAGGCACCACCGTGTAAACTATCCACCATTCCCGGGCCTATAACGTACCGAACCGTGCCGGTCGATACGCCACGAGACACTTTACACGGTGCATCGGGTATATGGCGCGGCGAGCGCAAGTCGTGACGCGCCGTATCTTGCATCGGATGTACCACCAGTGTGGAAACACGGATACGTACCTCCCTCGCCCTCGCCCGATCCTCTTCGAACCCTCCGCGAGTTGGTCCGCGACCAACCCACCCACCCGTCCGCGACCTTACCCTCCTTACCGTCCCCCTCCGCCGGGTTCACCGGTTCGAGAATTCTGTTTCGGTCGCTCTCGCCGATCGCCGCGAAACCCGCGAAATTTCGACAGCTGTCTACCTAATTTGCGTTCTATAGGGTTGATAACGCTTCCTCGGGGGTGTGTTTATTTTTTATCCCGATCCTTAACCCCTTGTTCAACAATCGATCCCACAACTGCGTTCATTAGCGCTTCTTCCATCTGAATAATTCGCCTGATAGAACGTTAGAATTTTCGTTTCCTTTACAGAATGTTTCGTCCGAGTGCAATTGGAGGGACAATGGTTAAATTAACCTTTTGCGCTCGAAGCCAAATTAACAGAAAATTTAATACAGTTTTTCCGACCCGCATGTTATATTATAACATAACGCATTTTATATGTGAGATTGAATTTCGTGATTCATGCGACAGTTATCCTTTCAACGGTTCTTCAAATGTAAACTCTAATTCTTCAATTTGATTAATAAAATTATTTTGAAACGTGACGTAATAATCTATAACGCGTTGAACGGCCAGCGTGGATCAGTACAGTTTCTCCCGGCGCCACGAATCAAGAAAAAAATTTACAGAAGACTATAACGTATTGTCCCGAGTGTCCAGTGACAGTCCAATTATGTTTACAATGTTTCAACGAATTCCATCGTGACCAATAAAAATGTTACAATACTTTAAAAAATATTTTATATTTTACTATCTTGTTTTATTATTAGTATAGGTAAATTTTTAATGTTTCTTTTTGTTTACTTTATGCTTTATTGTTACCCTATATTGTCTATACTCGTCACAGTTGCGTTACAAATAAAATTACTATTAAATTACCTCCTAAATCCTTCTTTAATTTGACTAAGACTGCGGAAATGTAGCCGTCACCCAGATACGGGTGTCGTGGCGTTCAACGTGTCAATGGCGCCTTAGAGTCGAGTGGAAAGGGTTAAATGGTAAATTGAAAAATTCGTGACCCGTCATTTCGGCGGGTTAATATTTTGGGTTAGAGAGAATCTATCGAGCAGCGGTTTCGCACACGCGTTCGCTCGTGTTCGGAGGAGCAGAAGGAACTTTTGTAAGATAATGGAGCGGTCCGAGGATGTTTGAGGAGGCCGCTCGTAGGTTTCTCGAAATGTACCGAGGCTCGCGTCCTGTCGAAAACGGATACCGCGTTCCTCGGAGGCATCGCGCACAATAGACTCCCCCGTATGATTTACATGCCGTCGCGCCGGTTCCCCCTTGGACAGAAGAAAGAGGGGTACAGGATGCTCGCGGTCCCGGAGCCTGCCTCCTTCTTATACGATCGCGCTGGCCCGTGGGCCTCTTCGACGTACTCGCACGTACACCAACACGTGGGCGTTCGTTCGGGCTACGAGCGTCGCCGCCGCCCGTTTTCTCGTGACGCGACTATGCTAACGCGGTAACGCCGCGCGTGGAATACGTTGCCGATGCATTCAGCGACTACCGGGCCCAGCAGATACTACCTCGCTTTTCGGACTTCGACGATTAATCCTGATACGGGCGGGAAACTCGCCGCAAACCGGCCCGAAACTTCTCGCGAAGATATTCGGACTTGGGCGATTTTTTGGGGGGAAAACTGTGCGCGTCTGGGTTCTTGAAACTTTGGGACCTTCTTTGCACGTGTTCGAACAGTGTTTGTGAATTTTTACGGTTTGCTGACTTCAAAATTGTTGGAGATATTGATCGAGGAAGTAGGTCATTTCTTCTTTGATATTCGGGATTTTTTTCGGGGGAACTGCTCGAGGTATCTTCTTGAAATTTAGGGGCCTTATTTGCACGTGTTCGAACAGTGCCTGTGAATTATTATGGTTTGCTGACTTGAAAATTGTGGGAGATATTGATCGAGGAAATAGGTCATTACTCTTTTGATATTCGGGATTTTTTTCGGGGGAACTGCTCGAGGTATCTTTTTGAAATTTAGGGGCCTTATTTGTACATGTTTGAACCATATCTGTGAATTTTTGCACTTTTCTGACTTGGAAATTGTGGGAGATATTAATCGAGGAAATAGGTCATTTCTCTTTTGATATTCGGGAATTTTTATCGGGGGAACTGTTCGACGCATTTTTTTGAAACTTAGGGGCCTTATTTGCACATGTTCGAACAGTGTCTCTGAATTTTTACACTTTTCTAACTTGAAAATTGTGACAGATATTAATGGAGAAAATAGATCGTTCCTCTTTTGACATCCGAGAATCTTTTTCGGAGAAACTATTCCACGCATCATTTCGAAACTTAGGGGCCTTATTTGCACATGTTTGAACTACGAATTTTTCTAGCGACAATGTCAACAATGTAACGCATCTTCATGAAACCCAGAAGCCCCGTTGCGTTATCTTCGAGCTACCTCCGCGAGTTTTTTTTTCATCCGCCTATCTTTAAAATTGCGATCATCTAAAAACTTACCCGAAGACAAAGCAGCCTTCACGCCACCCACGATGCTGTCCTGAGGAACGTTCTCCTTCGCCGTGATGGTGTATCGTGGCTTGTCGCAGGTGGCGATCCTGTGTTCAGGCGAGGACACCGTGATCCTCACTTCAGCGTCGACGATGCTCTTCCGTCCAGCCGCGTCCGTCGCCGCCACGTTCAACAGATACAACGAGGACCGAAACGGCAGATTCGGCCAGGCGACCTGCAGCTCGCCGTTGTTCTGGTCGATCTGGAAAACTCCGGCCTCGTTGCCGTTCGTGATCCGATAGGTCACTTGACCGAACGGTCCAACGTCCAGATCGGTAGCTGCTACTCTCAAAATCGGTCCTTGCACCCGACTGTCGCTCTTCAAGCTCACATTGTACATCTGCGGGTCGAACACAGGGAGATTGTCGTTCACGTCCGTCACTTGCACTCTGACGATGGCCACGGTGCTCAGTCCACCTGTAAAAGAATCGTCAATTAGTCCTTTGTTGGATAGTTAATTAATTAATTAGCGGAACCACCATAGCGAAATTATCATTTATGTCATTTAACCCTCGAACGGTATTCTGTTTCTTCAGACTATAAAGTATTACATTTGAATATTCCAGCAATTTACTAAATTTATAATTTATAAAATACTATTTTTGTAAATAAAATTTATTATTTATAAGATATTTTTAAGTACGCTAACCGACGCAAGTTAAGAAACGTTGCTGAAGTCGTTAAAAAGAGGCGTCGTTAATGTTTGAGTTAAAGTTTGGTATTTTAATAAATATTAAATCGAAGTAAAAACTCAAATTAAATATTAAATATAATATTAAATGAAAAGCACATATATTCTAGTGAAGCATACAACGCATTCTTTATGTTACAATATTGTTGCACTTATTGCATACGACAAATAAGAGACGATAAAATAAAATAAAATAAAATAAAATAAAATAAAAAGAATAAAACATAATGTAAAAGATTAAAAACTACAAGAAAATGAAGTTAATACGTTCATCAGAAGCTGCAGGCACCTGGTATGCGAAAATTAGTATGCAGAAATGTTGTCCGTGTTCCAAAGAAATCCCGAAGCCTCCTTAGAGGGTTAAATTGTAAATAGGATCGTGCGATTCTGAAAAATGATAGCGAGTTTCGGCGGCATTTTAATTTGATAGGTCGAAAGTAAATTAGGGGGATGAGTGGAGTCGATGAATCCGCAATAAAGGGCCACCGTTTCGCAAGTTGGGAGGCACTGTATATGGAACTGGGTTCAATACGGAGACCAGAAGTGCGAACCCGCGCGATTATGTTTATTTCAGTCTCGAGCGAAATCCTCTTATCGAGCCAAATAATGTCGGGGTATTAGCCGGCGTAAAGAACGAATCTACGGGGACTCTGCGAGCTGGCCGACATAAATCTCCCAGCGGCCTGTACCGTGGCCTTTTTTCGGAGCCAATCAGCCTCCCACCTCTACTTTATTTTCTTCTTCTCTCTCTCTCTCTCTCTCTCTCTCTCTCTCTTTCTATCACCTTACAAGCTACTTCGAAAATTTCATCCCCTTCATTTTTCTTCCTTGGACACTTTCAACTTTTCTTTCAATTTGATCCAAATACGGTAACAAAGATCGAAGATGAATTTAGGCATCATTTCTACAATATTTAAAACATTCTCTAATTGCATAATACTGGATAATTTATTTTGCATGATAAAGTATATTATGTATAATAATACTACATGGTAAAGTATACTATGGATAATAATACTGCATGGTAAAGTATACTATGTGTAATAATACTACATGATAAAATATACTATGAATAATAATACTACATGATAAAGTATGCTATGTACAATAATACTAGTATACATGATAAAGTATATATGTATATACTATGTACAATAATACTACATGATGAAAGTATACTATGTATAATAATAGTACATGATAAAGTATACTATGTACAATAATACTACATGATAAAGTGTACTATGTACAATAATACTATATAATAATGGATTGTGGCTCATAGATCAAGATCGCAGTGTATAAAGAGAAAGGTCGATGACAATTTTTTTTGGAAAATCTATACGAAGCATTTTTACAAAACTCTAATAAGTTTATATTGATGTATATTCGAGCTACCTTTTCGATTGTTTATACATTGTTATTAATAAAGTTATCGCAGATATTAACCAAGAAAGAAGACCACTTCCCTTCGGCAATCGTCTGACACCAAAAAGGCATATTCCCCTGAGAAATGTAAAAGAATTTTTTGCTGACACAATCAATCGGCATATACCGTAATTTCTCCCGGAAATGCCAAATTTTCGGTTGCTGTAAATTTCCCTGTGCTAGTCCTACGCCTATGTAATTTACTGCTACTTCGATGCTAAGAGTCGACGGAGTCAGTCAAGCGTGTGATGCGGCACGCGACGCGAATTCCCGGAAGACAATACAAAATAGTTTGCCTGGGTATGAGTCAGGTAAGAAAAACCGCGGAGCTACAAGGTACGTTTGATCGAGAGAGAACGTGAGAACCTTAGAGAATATCTAATGATTTTTATTATTCATCGTACGCGTATAATGTAGACAGTTATTTCCTGTTCCGATATATTTTCTGATTCTTTTGTCCTATTCCACCCACGCTTCCTTCTTTCTTCAATTACTCCATCCAGTTGAAAGTAATGCAACAGTACTGTTGTGCACTCGATTTATGCATTTATGTGAAAAATGAGTCGATCGGTTACAATTTTAACAAATCGTTGTAAAGGAAGATAAACGGCTATGCTACCTTCGTATCTCGCGAGAGACGCAATTGTTATTTCGACCAAAAAGTCGTAGTCTGGTCGACTTGAAGTTGCGAACGCGACATACAGTAATTTCTCCCGGAAATGCCAAATTTTGGGTTGCTGTGATTTTCCCTGTGTTAGTGCTGCGCCTATGTAATTTATTGCTACGTGGACGCTAAGAGTCGCGGAGCTGCAAGATGCGTGACCAATCTGCGTCGAATCGTGTCACGTGGGCTCGGAATTGCCATCGAATCGTGTCACGTGGCCACCGAATTGCCTTCGAATCGTGGCATGTGGCCTCGGAATTGCCTTCGAATCGTGTCACGTGGCCACCGAATTACCTCCGAATTGCTTTCGAATTTCCACCGAAGTGCCTTCTAATTGCCACCAAATTGCCTTCGAATTGCCTTCGAATCGTGGCATGTGGCCTCGGAATTGCCATCGAATCGTGTCACGTGGTCACCGAATTGCCTCCGAATTGCTTTCGAATTTTCACCGAAGTGCCTTCTAATTGCCACCAAATTGCCTTCGAATTGTCATCGAATTGCCTTGGAATCGTGCCCCGTGACCTCTGAATTGCCTCCGAATTGCCTTCGAATTGTATTCGAATTGCCTCTGCCTCTGAATTGCCTCCGAATCGTGTCGTGTGGCCTCCGAATTGCCTCCGAATCGTGGCAAAAAATTAGAAATAAAAAAGTTAAGTCATCTTTTTCATTCTAGCATTGCTACGTATTCATATTAACGTACACCTGCACGCTGGCCGCAGCCTTTTTCGCCGACTGCCCCGAGTTTCCATAAAAACGAGCCGCAAGGCCCGAAGAATCACGACACAGTATTCTCGGATCTGCCGGTTTCGATTCCGACCACCGAACATTTCTGAGAGAAATTACTGTACATTTAACTATGTTCCCATTTGTTTACAACCTCGCCGTCGACGAAACGTTCGCAATTAAAACTAGATCTCTCCTTTAAAAAAAAACGCCGAACCTTTGTGCACAGATTAAGCCATCCCCGGCCGTGAAACAAGTGTTCCAAAAGCACTGGCAGTCGGGAGAAAAATGACGGTATAGCAAACAATCGGCCGTTGTTGGATCGAGAAAGGGTGCAGGGTAGAGTAGGCGCCGAAAAAGAATCGCTCGCGAGTGATAATTTGCTTGCGGGTCGAGAGGTATCGGGCCGCGTTCTCCGCGGAGTGATATACGGTCTGACGGAAAGTAATAACGCTCCCTCGATCGTTATCCGTAAATCACGTTATTCGTCGTGGCCTAATCGCGGCGGATCCGCTTGCTTTCGTCGAAGACCCGGACGCCTCCTCGGAGCGGAGAGCGCCGCGGCCGAGGATTAATTAATCGGCGCTCGGTGTACTCGCGCCGATAACTCGCGCGTTCGGCCACTGGTTCGGTCGGTGCGCGCTGATTTAGGCGAACCCCTGGCGCAAGTGTTAATATTAAAGACAGTATGTAAAACGGGTAATCCGATGTTTAAACGGTTTACACCCGTAACTCATAGTAATATATGGACTCGGCCGGCGCGGAGCTCGGAGCGCGCCGAGATTTATAGGTACGAGTGTCATTGGAGTCATGCGTCAAGGGCCGGCGCGGCGGCCTCCCTTTTCCCCGTGAACCTCGCCGAGCCGTTCCATTCCCTTTCTACCTTCCCTCCACCTTCGAGGGGAAAAAAGAGAAACGGGCAGAACCCACCCGACAGCGCGGCCCGCAGTGGACCCGAAACGCTCGACGACCGTCGCGAATATTAGGAACCTATTAACAATTTCAAAGTTGAACTAGCAGTCGCGATGATTTTGACGACGATACAGTCGCGATGAATTTTCTTCGACAATTACCGAAATTATGGAAACGTTTCTGTGAGAAATTTTTAGAGATCAAATTCTTCGCCCAAGCATGCAAGAGAGGATTGGAATCATAACGGCGGAAATTAAATTTTCTTCATTCTGGAAAGCGAAGAGCGTTATTGTTTACTGGCCAAATTCATTGTTAATATAATTTACGGTTAAGTTAATTTATTGGAACTTTATAATTCATTTTACTTGCCATTTTAACGTTTCTGCATGTATAGATTGTATTGTCAGATATAAGTGAAAATTTTCGAAATGTGACTTACGCCATTGCGATTCTAATCTACAGATATTATAACTAAAATTGTACTGCTATTGTTATGAAAAAAACTGTTGTAAAACTGCTACTGTTATGATGGTGTTGTTATGAAAAACATTTGCTTTACGAAACCCTTACGATTCTAACCCACAGATATAATAGAATAGAATCTGAGCGTCAATTAGGAAGAATTTACTGTATTCGGCGTTTCGATCCACTGTGGCCACCTCTCGGCCACCTCTCGGCCACCTCTTGGCCACTTTTTGGCCACCTCTCGGCCACCTCTCGGCCACCTCTCGGCCACCTCTTGGCCACCTTTTGCCCACTTTTCGGCCACCTCTCGGCCACCTTTCGGCCACCTTTCGGCCACTTTTCGGCCACCTCTCGGCCACCTCTCTGCCATCTCTCGGCCCGAAAACCGTCGAAATGCCGAACATCGGCGGCTCCTGCGATGCTCCGAGATTCCCCGCGAGAACTGCACCCCTAATTTCTCTATCGAACGACTACCTTTCTCTTCGCGTTCGTCCTCTTCCCACCTCCGTCCTCTCTCTCCCTTTTCTTCGCTCG